CCCCAAAACCCCAAAACCCCAAAACCCCAAAACCCCAAAACCCCACTGCTAAAATCAATAATTGAATTATTTATTTAGTTTTTTAATAATTATATCATATCTCTTTAAGAATTATTCCTGACAAAGAAATGGAGCAACTTCTCCAAGACGAAGATTACATGCAAATAAAATCCCAGACTTCATTCATCACCTCCACTTTCACCCTCCTTTTCAGTATCAGCAGTTTCATATACACTCTTGAGGCATTCCAAAGGTTAGGTGCGAACAAAAGCCAAATTGACTATGTATTCGACAACTGGCAGACTCCTTTCATCACAGATATCTTTAGTGTGCCATCTGGGCATTTATGCCCAGATGGCTACGAACATCTTTTTGAAGCAGAGTGGCCTGGGTCAGTCACTGGGTGATTTTGAAAGAGTGAAGGGGCGAAGAAAGATAAGATCACTGTAGGAGCATGTAGCATAAGCCTGGTGAGTCTCAAGAGCGTTTAAAAGAGAGATTTTAGCAAGGATGGGCCTTGTAGGGTAGGAATTGGTTAGGCTTAAAGATATTACGGCAATTTTAGTTTACTTAAACAATGAAAGAGAGAAGGTATTTATAATCAAGGGTTTTATAGGAGACAATTTCTAAAAATGGGCGATATTTTGAATAACACTTTGTGAAAAGCTGAAGAAAAATTACTTATTTGATACTATCTTTGGTTTTAGTTCTTGGAATATTGGCTTCACTTTAAATTTATCTAAAGTACCATATAAATCTTTCACTATTTATACCAAAAAGCATAGGAAAAATTGTAAAACAATAAAGCAAACATCTCTAAGGCAGCTAAATTGGATACACAACTCAACTCTCTGAGGAAAAAGAAGTAAATTGAACTTTTTGGATCTTCATATTCCAGATACTGAAGGGCAATGTGATACCGGGCTTAAAAGGTGAGGATCCACTAAAAAGGATGGCATTTACACAACATGTGTACCCCAAAATTCTGAATGTCCGATTACAGATATTGTCATTACAAATAACTCAGCAATATCTTTTGATAAAAAAAACTACGAAAAGTAAAACTTTACTCTGACTTTATAGAATCTCCCTGTCAGATACTCATATGCTTTATTACTCTAAAAATAGCTCCCATCTACCAGTTGTTGAATTCAAGCTTACAGAGGGATCTCCATGTATTGATGCTGAGGAGCTATATCATACAACTTCAAAATTTAACAAATTATCAAAAAGTGATAAGTAGGTGAATCCTCGTTTTCAATCAAAACGAAACCTTAGAGCCAAAATAGCACATTTTGATAGCTTCGAAATCTATTGAATCCATAGCATATTTTCCAGACTTAAGGTCTGTATATCTTTGAATTCATCACTTAAAATATCCCAAAAATTTGTGTAGAATCTTCTAACCCGAACCTCTAGATCTGGATGCAATACTATTCTTGGAGACAACATTATTTTTGATGAGAGATACAGATTTGTCACAAGTGAAAGTAATTACGAGATGGTGCCACCACAAGCTCATTGGGGGCTAGGCTGGGGGGAAGCATCAACAATGAACCTGTACCAGAAGTCATACGTGAGATGGAACTCTGAGTGCTATAATAGCGTACTTTCTCCAGAAGAAACGTTCGTTAATATAGATATCTTTGAGTCAGTCGCTGCTTGGCAATCGGTCTTCAGCCAAATCTCTCTGGTTGATATGGTAGTAACATTTGTTTTTGGAGTTGTCAGTTTGATAGATATGGTTAAAAGACTCTTCTTCAATGGAAAATCAGGAAAATGGATCAAATGGTTTGAGAATATTAATAATGAATGGACAATGCTCATTAATTTCACCAAGATTGTCTTTGCTTACTTTTGTGTGAGCTATATTGATCTTTATGAGAGTGATATTATTGAGGTCAGTGTCAGTACTTGCTCTGATAAGATCACAAATCATAGCTTTGAAGTTCTTGGAAACTCTCTACTGGATTCTAGAGATGATGATATAACTGTGTTGAAGATAACAATTTTAATGCTTTCATTTGAAGTCACAAACTACCTCCTTCCAAACCTACTACACCTCAGAAAGCACCAACAAAACCAGAAACTTAAGAAAGACTAGTCCTAATTCTTCTTCCTTTCCTCTAAATCTCTGGTTTCTTCCAGGCTCTGGTCCTGCTCTGAGACAGTACTCTATAGTGTTGCTTTTTATTCTGTTGATGGTTGGATCTTATTGGGTTGTTATTATGCTTAGCTTTTTGATAATTTTATAGTTGAAGGATAACTTGAAAAAAGGGTTTAAAAGGAAGATTAAAGTGTGGTTCAATAATATTTTGGAAGAATGGGGTTTTGGGGTTTTGGGGTTTTGGGGTTTTGGGGTTTTGGGG